GTAGGAAGTAAAGTGCGTGAATCGTTCGTTGAGAATTATAGCGTGTGTTTAAGTGTATTGCAAAGTTGTATTGAGAAAGAATAAACTAGTTTTATTTTGTTTGTAGTTATACACAAAGCTACAATGGGCTATCTGTGCTCTGCCCATCACGGGTATCGAACCTCGGTTTCTAGCGTTATAAGTCCGTAGACATACCGCTGTGCCACTAGGGGCATTTAAGAATAGACATGTATCGCTGAAGTTTCTCGGGAAGAATTTCTACGGGAAATTAACAAACGAACAGAGACGTAACAATATTTATAATTTTTTCCCTCATAATGCCAAAAGGTTAAGCCTTGATGTTTCTTGAAACCCTTGGTAACATCGAATGTTCGATACTCTTGGAAAAGATTAAACTATTGAACGGCTTTTAAAAATAAAAATTTCAATCAAAATTCTGGAACTTATTAGCTCAATACTGTTTTTATTTTCTTCTATATTTAGTCTCCCTTTAATTTTATTTTCATTATGGATAAGAGGAAAACCTCTGTTTAGGATTTGCAAAATATATACCTGGTTTCATTGAACTCCTAATTTTTCAGCTTGTTGTTTTTGAAAGAATCATATAAAATTGGAGAATTCAAATTTACTCATGCATTAAAATACGCTCTTACTCGCGTGTTAAAAATAAACAATCAAAAATTACTACGGCTTAACCCTTGGTATTTTTCAAAAACTTGGTTCCAAACTTTTTATCGTATTATTCTGTTAGAAATATTTACCTAATGTAAGTTTTTTTAATAAACTGTCCTTCATCAATATGCCAAAGGGTTAAATATTGACGTTTTTTGGAAATTCTGGCTAACTTCGATTTTACTTTACTTGTGGCACAGCGGTATGTCTGCGGATTTACAATTTTACAAAACGGGTTTTGCCGTAGTGGGCAGAGCACAGATAACCCATTGTGTAGCTTTGTGCTTAACTTCAAACAAACTAGTCAAGAAAAGCAAACCACGAAACTGCTTCTCAAAAACTAGTACATTAACTTGTTTTCCAAAATTTATTTCATCTTTAATGTTGTTTATATTCTCGATAAGAGAAAACATGTTTTAAAGTTTTGCAAAAGATATAACTGTTTTCATTAAACTACTAATGTTTTTGTATGAAATGCACGCAATCAGAGATTTTACATTTTGTTTATCATTAAAATATGCAGTTATTTGGGTGTTTAAAAAATGTCTTTTGTTCATAAAAATTACCAAAGCATAATCATTGGTATTAAAAAAAAATTGTTAAGAATTCGTTTTCATCTTATTCTGCTAGGAAGATACACCTGATGCGAGATTTAAAAAAAACAAAAACAAATTTCTTTCTTCTTAAAGACCACGGGTTAAGCTTTGACACTTCTTCGAAATTCTGGCTAAGTTCGATTTTACCAAAAAACTGCTTAAATAAACATGAATTTTCAGTCATAATTTCCAAATTTAGAAGTTTATTACTGTTTGTTTCCGAATTTACTCCACCTTTAACTTTGTTTTTATTCAGGACAAGGTAATACCCCTGTTGAGGCTTTGCAAACGATATAATTGGTTTTGATTAAACTCCCAGTATTTCAAAAGTTTTAACCAAAATACCCTTAGTATTTTAAAAAAGTTTTGCTCAGAATTCTGTTTCTTGTTATTCAGCTAGAAAGACGTACCTGATGAAAGATTTTCAAAAAAAACAAACAACAAAAGAAAAATCTCTTTTCCTCATAATGGCCAAGGGTTAAGCCTTGACTCTTCTTGGAAATTCTGGCTATCATCAAATGTACGTTACTTTTGGAGAAAGTTAAACTATGAAACGGCTTCTAAATATATATATATATATATTCAATCAAAATTCCGAAACCTAGAACTTCATTATTGTTCTTCCCAAATTTATTCTACCTTTAATTTTGTTAACCTCCTAATGTTTTAGCCACACTATTTGTGTAAGAATTGCGTACAATAAGATACTTCACATTTATGTTTTTTTATTAGAATATGCACTTGTTTTCGTTTGAAAAAATTTGAAGTTTTCCCATATAAATTTTCAAGGCATAGCTCTTGGTATTTTTGAAAAATCTTGTTCAGAATTCGCTTTCATCTTATTCTACTACAAAGATGCAACTGATGAAATATTTTCAAAAAATAACTTTTCTTCCTGACCCCCAATTTCAAGCCTCCAAAGGTCACTTTAAGCTAAACAACTTTTGCGTACTTAATTTTCAAATCCAGGTTCACGTACGCGTTGTTCACCAGTTTTCTTGCCAAAAGTTAACGTAACACTGAATAGAACACGCGAATGTGTCGAAACTAGTTTCTACAACATCAAAACTTCTGACAGTTTGTTCCGTTTACTGTTTGATTTTTGTTGTTCACTAAGTGCTACAACCGATATTGAGTTAATTTATGCTGATTTTAATGTTATAAACCTTCAGATGTACCGCTGGGGGGACCAAAACTATCAAAATAGAAAAGATGGTAAAATGTTAACAATGTAAAAACAAATTCTGATTAAGAAGTTGCCACAGGATCACATACAAAACTTGTAATGGTTTTCAAACGAGACCAAAAACTTGAGCGCTTTCGAATTGTTCACTGTACTTCTTCGGGAGAATAAAGGGTTATGTTTAAGATGTCGACGTCATGTAAACCAAAGGTTCAATATGAGTTGGTCTTGAGAACTAGCCAATCAGAACCTACAATTGTTGGTGTAAGGTTTAGTTTGTGCCAAGGAGGTGTGTACAGTACACAAAAGACTTAAGCGTGATAATAGTTATAAAAAATTTTAACCAATTTTTAGAAAGATAAAATAACGACAAAAGTTGGTGGAAAATAGAGAAAATGATAATGTGACGCAATATATATGAAATAATACCAATATAAAGAAATTAATGAATTAATAATACCAATATAGATAAAGTAATGAATGAATAATACCAATATAGAGAAATTAATGAATTAATAATACCAATATAGATAAAGTAATGAATGAATAATACCAATATAGATAAATTAACGAACGAATAATACCAATATAGATAAATTAATGAATGAATAATACCAATATAGATAAATTAACGAACGAATAATACCAATATAGATAAATTAATGAATGAATAATACTAATATAGATAAATTAAAGAATTAATAATACCAATATAGATAAATTAATGAATGAATAATACTAATATAGAGAAATTATTGAATGAATAATACTAATATAGAGAAATTAATGAATGAATAATACCAATATAGATAAATTAATGAATGAATAATACTAATATAG